CGTACGCTGGATGACCTGGGATTTTCATCCAGAGCTATTCGCGCTGTAGCGGCCCCTCTTGTTACCACACCATCACTGCTAGAATGAATATCTTTGAAATTGAAATTGGGAACTTGATTGACAGTCGCAGACGATTTCCATATAACATTCATGGAACCAAGTCAAAGCCAGTCCAGTGCGACCACACTTGGGAAGAGTTGCAAGCCGCACTCTGTGAAAGTCTGGCCAGGTGCTTCTGCTCTGACGAGTTTTCGTCGTCTTCGACTGCTTCGAAGTTTGCGTCGTAATACTCATCTTCTAGCCTCACCTCCACACCGTCATACCTTTCGAAATCTTGGCAGTTGGAATCCCCAACGCTGTCGTGAAATGCCGCCACAGTGCTTTGACTGGTGATTGTAATTTATCCAAGGTATCTCGTTTTGGCTTGTGACGATTTGCTATCCGCAGAGCAAAAGCAAAAGTTATAGCGCTTCTATATATGCACAATACAGCCATCAAGCGGGCACCCCAGTCCGGATAAGTCCCAAAACTATGATAGTGCCTTTGACCGAAGTTGGTAATTGAGAGGGCGTGCCCTCGCCCATCTTCTGGCTAATCCTTGATATACCATGAATTACGAAACATTCCAAGCAGTACTCGTAAAAAACAAAGGCACTAAGAGCTTTCGCGAAATCGTTGCAATATCCATAATAAGCAGCGAGACAATGAGCTCGACGGTTGGCTGAAATTGCAAAGGTGGGTGCTACGTCAACAGACACGTTGTGGAATTTCCGGAGTTGTCACCAAAATTCTTTAGCATTAATGTAATTTGATGCAAAACTTATGGACCAAACTAATAGAGAAGGCATTGATGGCGATCCTTTTTTATTTGTAATTCAGTTGTCCAATGTCACTTCGTGTCTAATAATGTTCTAGATTTGTCTGCAGCAATTTAACGTTGTCTTATACAACGTATTGGTAGACAAAGAAAATAAAGGTAAGTGAAAACATGTACAGGTCATTATCTCTCCCCTTCCCCAAGCCGCAGGGGGAAGAGCCTCCAAGGACCGCTGCTGTTGAATTCTTGGCACCCTATGCTGATCGTTCCACTGGTCACTACACTTTAGATTCGGATAAGGAAAAATCAATCACTGATTTCTGTCGAACTAACTCTCCTTTGATTGCTGTTCGGTTCGATTAGTCTCGCATCACACGAAGTATTGGTAGACGGTAGAAATAAAATAAAGGTAAGTGAAAACAGGTACAGGTCATTATCTCTCCCCTTCCTCAAGCCGCAGGAGACAAGAGACATGCCGAGCGAGAAGGGCATAGGATATACCAACGGCCTAACTAGTTGCCTGATGTGACAGATGGAGTATCAATCAACTAGATTGCGGTTACTACCATTTCGTTTCGTGGCGTGATGAAAATGCATTGTATGGTTTCTGCATGATCTCCTTCTCAATCAAGATGTACTCTCATATTATAAGGTAGACTGTGTCGGGTGTGGGTACTTAGGACAGCACGCGACTTTTTCGCTCATCGCAACGCGACATCGCGCGGCAGGCTGGCGTACCCGCAGCGAAGACAACTACGGTATGGAAGAACGCGCGATTGGAGCAGCTTTTTTTGCATACGTGAATTTGTAAGTTTCTGATTCCTAACTTGCCCGCGCTCACACCCATTGTATTGATAGATGCGGTGAATCACTAATTCTGCCTCATTATTGAATACGTTTTGTGACTTACACGATTCCGGGCGATGCCACACAAATGATGCTTTACTAATTATCGGTGAAGGAGATTTAGTAGTGTTGTTATGCTTGCATTTTGTGGGTTCATATTGTTGTATAGATATCTGCATAAGTGTATAACATCTTTTACGGAACGCTTCTGTCCTCATCACGGATATACTCATTTTTGACGCTAGCGCCATTTGGGGCCGGGTGGCGCCACAACTGATTTCCACTAAATTCGCTGTAAACTTCTGTATAAGGGTTACTCGGGGTCCTGGTTTGTTGTTAGCGCTATTCGGCGCCTGCTTCCTGCTCGTCTGCGCCCTCGTACTAATGAGATCGCAATAGGACTAAGCCTTTGAGTAGTGTAGGGCTCCAAAGTGGGCAGGCCGTTCCCCTGTGGTCTGACACACTCCAACTTTTGCCTCACGGTGCGTGTTTTCTTCACGCAGAAGTTTCACTCCCCTCCCCTAAGCTTACGAGGAATGCTCAATTGGTCAGTCCGGCCGTTTGTAATGAGGTGTAGTCCGCTGTACTCGTCTTGCGACGCTGAGCTCAGATCCGTTCTCGGTATCTGCGGAACGATCTTCTGAAAGAAGTTACGAGGGCTTCTTCTCACTGTGGCTTTCTCACTATGACGGCCTCTACATCCTCGCATCCCGCTTGCCACGCTCACGTTGAGCCGGTGAGGAGTTCTGATTGTGGGACTGGTGGTGCAGTGGATAGCCGTTTGCCTCATATTGGTGAAGTCAGATGTAAATCCTTGAGCATGGCAAACTTTTGCATTTTTCCAGGGCTCCTCATGCGAACCCAAAATGTGTTTATATTTGGATATTTTGTCGATTTGCGTCCCCATACATCTGTTATACTATACATCTGTTTTGTTTCGATCACTTTGTGAGGGACTATCATAGTTGCTCGTATAGGATAACTTTATACTATATATAGTATAAAGTTACCCTATAAGACTTTATACTATATACGATATACTTTAAATATGGAATAACTTTTCGAAATATTGTTAATTTAAGAGCTTCTGTGTGTCCAAGTTCATCTTAACGTAGAACTGAAAAAAAATGAGCAGAGAAGGAGATTCCAGAGTCTGCCCTCTCCAAATGTAAAAGGGGGACGCAAATTGACAAAATATCCAAATATAAACACATTTTGGGTTCGTATGAGGAGCCCTGGAAAAATGCAAAAGTTTGCCATGCGCAAGGATTTGAACATCTAACCTCACAAATGTAAAGCAAACGCGCTATCCACTGCACCACCAGTACCACATTTAGAGTTCCTCACCGGCTCAACGTGAGCGTGGCAAGCTGTATGCGAGGATGTAGAGGGCGCCAAGTGAGAAAGCCACAGTGAGAAGAATCCCTCGTAACTTCTTTCAGAAGATCGTTCCGCAGATACCGAGAACGGATCTGAGCTCAGCGTCGCAAGACGAGTACAGCGGACTACACCTCATTACAAATGGCCGGACTGACCAATTGAGCATTCCTCGTTAGTAGTAAGCGCTGCAGGTAAGAAAGCTTAGGAAAGCAGAAAGTATGCGTTAATCAGCACGAATGTGAAAAATGAATGTCATATTCATGATCAGGGCCCCGAATAACCCCTATGCAGAAGGTTGCAGTCGTCTCATTAAACGTCCATCAACCATTCCTCTTCCAGGTTCTCCAGAAGATCTACCATCCATCTCTGTAAAAGTAACCTAGCAACCTCTTCACTGCTAGTTAGCGGCCCAATGCTGGTTACCGCTTCCTCGTTCATTATCAAATCCATGGCTATTAAGCTTCAAACTCCTTGTCGAAAACAAAGCCGACACAAAAAACGCGCTCCAATCGCGCGTTCTTCCATACCGTAGCTGTCTTCGCTGCGGGTGTGCTAGCCT